CCTCCCATCCAACAGCAGCAGAATACACACTCTTCTCAAGCATACACAGAACACTCTGCAGGACAAGATCATATGTTTAGGCCACAAAACAAATCTTAATAAATTTAAGATGACTGAAATCTTATCATGCATCTTTTCCAACAACAATGGTAGGAAACTAGAAATCAATTATAAGAAAAAAACAGAAAATTCAAATTTCACAAATATGTGTAGATTAAACAACATATTACTGAACAACCAATGGGTCAGAGAAGAAATCAAAACAGAAATCAAAAAATATCTTGAGGCAAATGGAAGTAGAAACTAAACACACTACAACTTAGGAGATGTAGCAAAAGCAGTTCTAAGAGAGGTTCACAGCAACAAATGCCTACCTTAGGAAAAAAGAAAGGTCTCAAACTACCTAACTTTATACCTCAAGGAACTAGGAAAAAAAAAAAAAAAGGATGAACCAAGCCAGAAGTTAGTAGAAGGAAAGAAATAACAAAGAGAAGAACAAAAATAAACGAAATAGGGACTAAAAAGACAACAGAAAAGATTAAGGAAACTAAAAGCAGATTCTTTGAAAAGATAAAATAGACAAAAATTTAGCTAGATTCACTTAAAAAAAAAAAAGAGGACTCAAATAAAATTAGAAATGAAAGAGGAGACCCTATAGCTGACACCCCACAAACACAAAGGATCATATAAGACTACTATAAAAAATTATATAGCAATGAATGGAACAACCTAGAAGAAAATGGATAAATTCCTAGAAACATACATACAACGTACCAGAACTGACTCATGAAGAAACAGAAAATCTGAACAGACCAATTACTAGTAAGGAAATTGAACCAGTAATAAAAAACCACCCAACAAAGAAAAGCCCAGGACCAGATAGCTTCAAACACTCAAAGAAGAATTAATACAAATCCTTCTCAAACTATTACAAAAACTGAAGAGGGAACACATTCAAAATCATTTTACAAGACCTGCATTAACCTAATAACCAAAATCAGACAACAACATTAGAAGAAAAGAAAATCACAGGACAAAATCCCTGATGAACATAGATGTAAAAATCCTCTACAAAATATCCGTAAACTGAATTCAACAATACATTAAAAAAATCATACACCATGATCAAGTAGGATTTATTCCAGGGATACAAAAATGGTTCAATATCTGCAAAACAATCAACGTGATACACCACATTAGTAGAATGGTAAAAAAGAATCATGATCATCTCAACAGATGGAGAAAAAGCATTCTACAAAATTCAACATCCATTCATGATAAAAAGTCTTAAATTAGGCATAGAAGGAACATATCTCAACATAATAAAGGCCATATATGACAAGCCCAGAGGAACATCATACTCAATAATAAAAAGCTGCAAGCTTTTCCTGTAGGATCAGGAACAAGACAAGAATGCCCATTTTCACCACTTTTATTCAACTTAGTACTGCAAGTCAGAGCAATAAGGCAAGAAAAAAAATAAAAGGCATCCAAATTAGAAAAGAAGTAAAACTGTCCTTTGCAGATGACATGATATATATAGAAAACCTAAACACCACCAAAAACTGTGAGAACTAGTGAATTAATTCAGTAAAGTTGCAGGATACAAAATCAATATACAAATATCAGTTGTGTATCTATACATTAATAACAAACTATCAGAAAGAGATTTAAGAAAACAATCCCATTTTTTTTTTAAAGAGTTTATTTATTTGTTTGAGAAAGAGAGAGAGACAGAGACAGCATGAGCAGGGGGAGGAGACAGGGAGAGGGAGAAGCAGACTCCCCACTGAGCAGGAAGTCCAATGTGGGGCTCGATCCCAGGACCTTGGGATCACGACTTGAGCCAAAGGCAGACCCTTAACCCACTGAGCCACCCAGGTGCCCCAATCTCTTAAACATTTACTATTCTGCTGGTGTTTTGTCAACATTCAGTATGCACGTAAATATATATTTAATAAAATCATATAACATATAATATTTATATATATATATTTCTAGGGATTCAAATATTATCACCTTTAAAAAAAATTAACAGGCCAAAGAAAAACTGTTTCCTCCTTCTGAGAGCTTTTATAAAGTCAAACATAACATAAACTGAACATCTATTATGTATCAGATACTTTCACATGTGTTATCTCATTTAATCTCTTATTATTCACATTTTCCACAAGAGAACACTGTGATTCAGAATGGTTAAACATGGTGTCAAAGGTTATACATATAATAACAAAAGCCAGGCTTTGATCCTAGGGGTGTCTGTTTATAAAGCCAAGATCATTCTATTACCAGGGTTGGCAAACTCAATATAAAGAGCCAGAGAGTTAATATTTTAGGTTTTTTGGACCACATGATCCTGTCACAAATACTTAACTGTACTATTGTAGCCCAAAAGCAACTGTAGACTACATGGAAACAAATGAGAGTAGCTTTGTTTCAATACAACTTTATTAATAAAAACAGATGGAGGGTCAAATTGCCAATCCCTTCACTATACTACAATGCACCTCCTCCTAGAGAACCTCCATTAAGTTTTCATTAACATCACCAAATTGTATCTCTCTCTCCTTAAAAAAGTATGACCTTAATCTTACTGGGCAATTTTAATGCTTTTCTTATTAGGCTCCATTATTTGAAAGAGGTTACTCTTGGGGGAATACATTCAACCTTTTACATCTTCTAACTATAATGCTAATTATATCAGAAATTAATCTATAAATCAGATAAGACTTTTTTTAAAAGATTTTATTTATTTATTCATGAGAGACAGAGAGAGAGGCAGAGGGAGAAGCAGGCTCCCAAGGAGCAGGGAGCCCAATGCGGGACTTGATTCCAGGACCCTGGGATCATGACCTGAGCCGAAGGCAGACGCTTAACCATCTGAGCCACCCAGGCGCCCTCAGATAAAACATTTCTAAAACTACAGTACTAGCATGCCCTAAATTCTCAGTGTGAAAATGTCAAACATCCATATTTAAAGTTCTCCCTTTTGAACTTTTTTCGGTTATTAGTATCTCATTTTAATTGCTCAATCTTTATTTAATAAGCATAATCATCACAAGACCAAACTAATATACACAGCCAAGCAACAATAGCAAATATCCTCTTTTACTTATACAAAATGATCATATATAGAGGCACCTGGGTGATGCAGTTGGTTAAGCATCCAACTCTTAGTTTCAGCTCAGGTCGTGATTTCAGGGTCGTGAGATCAAGCCCTGCGTCAGGCTCTGCGCTCAGGGAGGAGTGTGCTTGGTACTCTCTCCCCCTCTCTCTCTGCCCCTCCCCCTCATGCATTCCCTCTCTGTCTGAAATAAATAAATCTTAAAAAAAAAAAAGATAATATATACAAAAATGACCTAAAGACACAGAACTTAACGACCTTATTCTTTAGAAAGGCCCTTCACTCCCTTATTCCAAAATTTAATTATATGTGCCACCACTGAGATTGTCATTTTTAAGATTTAAACAGTATAGGGGCGCCTGGGTGGCTCAGTCGTTAAGCGTCTGCCTTCGGCTCAGGTCATGATCCCAGGGTCCTGGGATCGAGCCCCGCATCGGGCTCCCTGCTCCGCGGGAAGCCTGCTTCTCCCTCCCCCACTCCCTCTGCTTGTGTTCCCTCTGTTGCTGTGTCTCTCTCTGTCAAATAAATAAATAAAATCTTTAAAAAAAAAAAAAAAGATTTAAACAGTATAAAATGATACAAATAGGAAAGAAAAATTCCCCTTCTCGATCAAGGATTCTGGTCTTTCTTCCCTTGCTCCCACTCTAACCTCCTTCCTCACACACACACAGGCACTCTTGTGCATGCTTTCTTTCCGTTCTGTCTGCCTGTCTGCCTCTTTCTCTGACTTACACACACACACACGCGGTACTTCAAAAACACAATCCAAGTCCAAATAATGCACAAGATCAGACCGAGTATCAACTGTACACACAAAACACACAAGATAAGATTCAAAAACACATGATCAGATTCAAATCCCAGCTCTACAACTAAAACCAGTTGAATAATTACTAGCTTTGTGCCTTCAGTAACTACCTATTTAACCTCTATTAGTCTCTTTGCTCATCTATAAAAATGGGGGAAAAGTGTACCCCACCTCATGTGGTTGTTGTGTGCATTAAAGTGAGAATGGAAACAACATGCCAACAGCATGCCCAACAGCATGGTGTTGATACGTATATAGTCAAGTACTTAGAACTTGCCACTGCTCTTACTCCCACAACCACCCCTAACATCACCAATCTGGGACAAGTCTTAACTAAGATCTATTGTTATTCCTGTACAAAATGGGAAAAGCACTGTTTCCAATGGTATATATAACAACAACTTTTTAAAGGATTCTGCAAATTCTTCTTTTCGTTATTGTTAAAAGTCAGGGGAGAAAAGTCCCTTTTCTCAAAAACTTAACATTCCTTTGAGAACCTTTAAAAAATTAAGTCTATTTTTATTCCTGAAAGGAAACAAGAAGTTAGCATTTTTCACTTACTCTCTCATTGTTGTAGGTATTTTTATTTTTATTTTTATTTTTTTTTAAGATTTTATTTATTTATTTGAGAGAGAGAGAGCACATGTGAAGGGGGAGGGTCAGAGGGAGAAGCAGACTCCCTGCCGAGCAGGGAGCCCGATGCGGGACTCGATCCTGGGACTCCAGGATCATGACCTGAGCCGAAGGCAGTCGCTTAACCAACTGAGCCACCCAGGCTTCCTCATTGTTGTAGGTATTTTTAAACCAAAACATATATACCGAAAGATCTAATATGTTGCTTTTTCAAGAAAGTCACTCAACCCTAATATATAATCATAAATGGATTTGGTTAAAAGGGAACGTCAGATGAAGGTCTACTTTCTCAATCCCAATATATTTTAAAATTAACCAAGTTTAGCGTTTACTTTGGTTGTTTTTTGTTTTCAATCTTCTGCACGTAAAGGAACCACATGTTAATAACTGTATGCTACCGTCATTCTAACATTAGTGGCTATAAACATTTCTTACCAAGTTACGCTTTTTTACTGGAAGAAAGTAATAATAGTGGCAGAAAGAAAACATCAGAGCGTAGGAAGTAAGAAGTTCCGTGTAGAAACACAACTGCAGAAAAAGCCAATGATTATCTTCACCCACACAATTGTTAATCCTGGAGAAAAAAGGAAAACAGAAACAGTATTTTAAACTTTAATAAGATGCTCACGTCAGGACCGGGAAAACTGAAAATACACACAAACAACTTCATATATGCTTGACTTTATGGAGCTATGCTAATGCCACTTCAGCCTACAAGCCCACAGCACACAGGAACAGCTATACGCTAAATACGCCACCTCACATTTGGAAAGCTCTTTCTACTTCACAAAGGAAGTCCATGGATGCGATCGGTCTTCAACTCACAACCACCCGGTGTGGCAGGAAGAGCAGATGGCAGTCTCCTCGTTTCATTGGTATGGAAACGGGAACAAAGGAGTGAAGACACTTGCCAGAGGAAGCGACAGTAGCCAAGAGAACAAGAACTTTCTTCTAGATAGTGCTCTTCCATTACAGCATCCCAGCTGTGGAGAGCAATTTGAATGATTCGAAGTAAGAAGACAAACCTGCCACTCTGACCTACTGCTAAGCACTCCCGATTTGTCTTACTTTTCCATTCTATCCTTGGCCGCTGAAAATATATATCCACAAGTATTTACAAATTCTTAGAGCTACAGTTCCACCATGACAACATGAATCATAGCTAGGAAAAATAATTAACGTGGTAACCCTGAAATTTTCAAGGCTGATGCAGGCTGAAAATTTTAGTGTTCCAAATTTTCAGAATATTTTATAATTCCCGCAGAAAACCCTAGTTCAAAACTAGAACTTACCTTGCACAAATGTCTTCATTTCCCTATAGCATTATACTGCCATTGTTTGGGGAAAAAAAGATACAGCTGGTGCAATTCCTAACAAACTGTTGTTTCAAAGATGTATCATTAAACTATTTTTTTTTTTTAATCATAGAAGTAAATGCAAAACACAAAGAGGCATTCCCTAAACTTAAGAGCTCATGCTTTGTAAACATGAAAGTTCCTGTGTTTTGCGACTTGCAAGCAGGGCCTTCACAGAAGTGTGTTCACGTTGTGCACTCAAACATACTCTCCAACAGCTATGGCTTCAGTGACTTATCCTTATCCCATCCTCCTTCACCACCACCCCCCCCACCCCGCTTTAATGATGGCATTCTTAACCAGAGAGCTTTGAGAAATGCAAAGGTACTCAGTTTATATGTAAGAGTTCTCTCAGTAACAAACTACTCAGGAAGCCAGAAAGAGAGAAAATCTCCAGGTGATCTGAGAACTGACCTCCAAATCTAAAGCTGTTAGGCAGTTAAGATAATGCAGTTTCTGAAAATATCAAAAAATTTCCTTGCTTCCAATTCACACTATTTCCCTCACTCTCTGATACCTTGGCAATGCCCTATTAAGGAATTCAATCACAAAAGTCCCTCGATCTGTTTAAGGCCTCTGGTCTACCGTCCTTCCCTACCTCCAACTCCTTCTACTTCTACTTTTCTTCCCACAAGTACTCTGAGAAGCTGAAAACCACGGCAGAGGCCAACAAACAGAGAGCTCACCGCCCAATCTTAGAATTTAGATTAATAGCATATTTTTTGTCACCAAGTTAATCTTTATTCCTTAAAAATAAAGAAAGGGGGCGCCTGGGTGGCTCAGTCAGTTAAGCGACTGCCTTCGGCTCAGGTCATGATCTCGGGGTCCTGGGTTCAAGCCCCGCATCAGGCTCCCTGCTCGGCGGGAAGCCTGTTTCTCCCTTTCCCACTCCCCCTGCCTGTGTTCCCTCTCTCGCTTTCTCTCTCTCTCTGTCAAATAAATAAATAAAATCTTTAAAAAATAAAAAAATAAAGAAAGAATGTCGCTAATCTCCACAGTACCTAAACATCTCCTGGTTGATTATTTTTTAAGCTTAAACTCTTGCATTCTTTTAAAAGGAAGTATCAATATCCAACCATAACATGAACATTTATTATATTCTTAGTTAATCAGAAACATTACTCTAAAAAAGGTTATACAATTGAGTTTTTCAGTGTGGTTACTACTTGCCTAATAATACATGTTTTACCCAGCCTTTTGTTTTTTAATGTATTACTATTGTAACTGTAAGCAGATCGCTGAGGTTTAGAAAATCACTTGAGAATTAATCTGTTTAAATTCAAGGCACATTTTTTAAACATCGGCTATATATTATATGCTATATTATCCCACTGATGGACTTAGACAATTTTAAACTTTTTTTATATAGTAACAAAGTGCTTTTATCTAAAATGCTTTTATTTTTCCTAATCTCGGGAAATTACATTCTGTTTAAATAATCAGTTTATAGTAAAAATCAAATTTTCACTAAAAGCTTGCAAATATTAACTTGTGTTATCAGAGTAAGTTATCAGAAAATATGGGGAACTCTAAATTGGTCAGCATCATCCAGCAAAGCTAAACTCCACCACTGAGTCAACTATAGATAAATGCAGTTATAAATTTAAGAAGCCCATTATGCAGTTAACTTTGTATATGTGCATGTATGTGTGTACAAACATAAATATATACGTATTTAGATATATTTACAAAGTGCTACACTATACTAGTTTAAATATTTATACAGAGATCCCATGCTAGGAAAACAGAATTAAATACAATATCTTGTTCACAGATTTTTGTGACAGCTTTGAAATGAGATACAATGCAGAATTCTCACAGCATTTGTTTTCAAAATTCTATTTCTCAACAGAACTGTTTTTAAAAATATTACAAGAGAGCCCCCTATTGACCAAAAATGTTGCCAGTTCAGGAGAATCAGCTAACTGCCTCTTACACACATCCAGCTTGCAGGGAATCTTAATACCTGCGTGCAATACATAATATTGAAAAAAGCTTACAGGGGGAGAAATGAGGCTATCAGAGTATCTGAGATGTGTTATTCTTTAATTAAACAACTGGAAAGGGAAATATAAACAATGCAATGTATACGATTTATTACAGTTAGAGACAGTAACAGCTATTATTTAAGTGCTTTTTCTGTGTCAGATGCTACACTACAATGTTTTACAAACATTGCCTCATTTAATACAACCACCTTAGTTCTCTTGTACACTTGGGTGCATTGACACTGAACATCAATCTTCTGCTCAAATAGCTCTTTGTTAGAAAAGATAGGATCTCTGTGCAAAAATTACTTTGGCAGTTGATAGAACCTCACAGAACCTGACAGTATCCTTACCGAAGGATTTTTTAAAACTGCATGATTTTAATATAACTTTTATTTAAATCTGCTAAGTACTAAGATTTATTTTTCACTATTTTTTTTTTTCTAAAAATAAATCATAAATTTCTTACCATGGACAGTGATGATCCATTCTCCTAACACAGTGGCCGCAGCGGCTACAGTGATGGGAACGCTTTGGTCTCATCAAATTACATTTGTTACATAATTCCCAGAACTCCCGTTCTAGAGAAGGAAATTAAAATCCACTTAATAAAGGCAAATGAGTAATGTTGAAATTTAGCAACAACAGTTTAGATTTTATAGGAAGTCTTCAATATGTATGTCCAAGATTTTTCTTCTTCTACATCTTCACTGTAAAAGAATTTGCCATAAATATTGCTTCTCTATTCTATGCATGTCTTATTCTATACATTTCTAATTTTAAACACTATAATAGTAAGACACCATTAATAGTCAAACTAAGGGATAGAAAATAATGTATTCGGGTTATGGACGTATTTGCTATAAGTAAAAAACAAACTGAGGGTTCTAGAGGGGTTCTAGAGGGGGTGGGAGGATGGGTTAGCCTGGTGATGGGTATTAAAGAGGGCACGTTCTGCATGGAGCACTGGGTGTTATACACAAACAATGAATCATGGAACACTACATCAAAAACTAATGATGTAATGTATAGTGATTAACATAACAATAAAATTTTTTAAAAAAATTTAATGACAATTCCCGAAAGCACAACCAAATTATTATATTAAAACAGAATTTTATGTACAAATTAATTTCTAGAAATTTTATTAAAGACTCTAAAGAAGAAATAATTCTGAATCCTAGTTTCATTTATTAAGAAGTCAAAAATCAATCCTATAAGGGCAACTGGGTGGCTCAGTTGGTTGAGTGTCTGCCTTCAGCTCAGGTCATGATCTCAGGGTCCTGGGATCCAGCCCACATCCATCTGGCTCCCTGCTCAGCGGGAAGTCTGCTTCTCCTTCCCCCTCTGCCCCTCCCCTAGCTTGTGCTCACGCACGCACTCTCTCTCTCACTTGCTCAAATAAATGAATAAAAGCTTAAAAAAAAAATCAATCCTATACACTCATTAGAAAAACAGAGATAGCATTCCCACTTCCTAAACATTTTATATTTTTAATATCAGTGAATTCATTTAGGAGTGTTTATGGGAGAGGGTAGGAAAATTTTGTGTTTCAGATGGATTTAGGAGGTATTAGGACGATTTCAGAAGTAAAGATGATTACAAGAAAATTATTATTTAATGGAAATAAGGTAGTTCTTTACAAAACTCTTACAACCAAATAGCAATTTCCTCTACCTTGTAATTAAAGAGCACACATTTAAGTTTTGTGCTAAAAACATTAAGTTTACAGAAATAAAGTCATTTATTTTCATTATAAATTTTTCTAATCAGATCTATGAGAACTATATGAAAGTCATCTATCAAGACAACTGCTCTATTATACAGAATGTATCTATTTAATATTTGTTGAAATGGAGTTTTACTTTTACAAAATTCTTAAACCTTCCATCACTTACATTTAAACTACACTCTAACCTTGTTTAAAGCATGGGCATAGTAATAGTAAAATTGAGTGAATATTCATATATGTAAAGTATGACCCTAGCACACAGTAGGTGGTCACTAAATGCTTGCTAAAGTATGAATTTTTAAAAATGAACGATTCTAAATATAAGTAAAAGAAGATAATAGTAGGTAGTATTCAATATTCTCAAAGATACCTTATATTAATTCCATTATTTTAGTTTAATGACCAGGAGTAAAATCAATATACTGGAATTTTCTACAGTGAAGTATTAGGAAAACATTCTGCTATAGAAGAAATCAATAATAATAATAATATCAAATTAATTGTTCCAATAATATTAAAGTTGAGAAATTAACTTTTGCATTTAAAATTTCATTTTTTTAATTCTTTATTTAAATTCAATTTAGTTAACACATACTATGTTATTAGTTTCAGGGGTAGAATTTAGTGATTCATCAGTTGCATATCACACCCAGTACTCATCACATCACGTGCCTTCCTTAAAGCCCATCAGCCAGTTACCCCATCTCCCCACCCACCTGCCCTCCAGCAACCCTCCGTTTGTTTCCTAGAGTTAAGATCCTCTTTCATTTCTTACTTACAGTTCTTATTTTAATAAAAACTTATGTGAGAAAGCAACATTAAAGTTTAATTTAGATGGTTAAATTAGTATTATTTAACTGTAACTGAAATGAAAACTCATTTCATATGTAGCACAATACAATGTCACAAGCAGATTACTCTTTTCCCATTTAGCAAGATGCTCCCAAACATCCCAGTGTTAAAATTCTGAATTCACATACTGCAAGGAATAGAGTCAGGAAGCAGACTCCCCCTGATGAGCTAATTTTCATTAAAAGACAACAGAAAAACTTTAGTTTTTAAAAACCAGTGCCTTAAAATATAAATATGGTATATTTATACTGGTCATTTCAGCATATGATATTCTAGAGAGTAAAACTCTTTATTTCACACTTGAAATGTTGTATCCTCAGAAAAGAAGACAGCATTTGGTTATAGTGAGAGAAAGCCTGTAATTGTGTAGTCTAGACCACGGGGTGGCAAACTACAGTTCACAGGCAAATCCAGGCCACCACCTGTTTTCATGAGCTAGGAATGGTTTTTACAATTTTCAACGATTGAAAATAAGAAGAATGTGTGATATGTAAAAATCTTGAAATTCAAATTCCAGTGTCCATACATAAAGTTTTATTTGAACACAGTTCAAATGAACACCCATTCCTTTACGTTTTATCTATGGCTGCTTTTGGGTTGCAATGGCAGGGCTGAGGGGCTGTGACAGAGACTGTACGGTCTATAAAGCTGAAAATATTTACTATCTAGACCTGTACGGTAAAGAAGAGTTTGCCAATCTATGGTCTGGATCACAAATTTGTTTAAAGAAAGAGCTTGAGCCATTCCTTGGCTAAATTTAAGATACTATACAAGTATCTAAAACGGCTTTGAAATCTCACATTTTCACACACACACACCTATGTGTTTAGAGAACAAAGAAAAAAATCACTATTTTAAATACCTAGAAATTAAAGTATCATCTATGTTTTTGCCTCATATAACAAGAAAAAAAATCCATCCATCTTAACCTACTCTATGTATCTAGAAACCATTTCTTGCTCTTTTCCCTTTCCTTCTTTAGGTTTATTCATTCCAAATGTGACCTTGGTGACTGACATATTCTGATGTCTGAAGACTTTTGTACTAGCATCTAATATAAAATAAAAGCCTGTGGGGGGGAGGGGAATCAGAAGGCAAAATACCATCTGTAAGTGATGAAAATAAAAATTTTAAATTAAAAAAAAAAAGCCCATGGGAGAGAGAATTCAATTGCTAATTTATGGTAGCTATAGAAAAATTGACAACTGACTTTTTTTAAAGCAAAGAAAAATTTTAAAGGAAAGAAAAATAGAAAAGTGACTTTTTTTAAAGAAAAAAAATCAAAACATAAATCAAAGAAAAGAAGACAGACCCCATAAATGCCTGGGTACACCTAAGTAAGTAACCTAGGTAAATAGTATGCCGCTGTGTTGCATGGATCCTCTTAATGCTGTAAATGCATGAATAAACAAAAGGCAAGATTTGGTTTTGTTTTATTTATCCCTCAGAAAGAAAGGAATCACCTTCTAAGTAAGACTTTTAAAAGACTTATTAGATCCTCTCAATTACTGTATTTCAAACCACAAAGTAATGTTTTAGGGAGAAAAATATAACTTGAAACTATGAAAATCAATACAGCATTTGGCTCTTCACAGAGGTTCCCTGACAGAATCACTTGCCAATGTAGAAAATAAATGGTAGTAAGTCTCTAACAGATCTCCTTTAAAAAGCAATGTAAGAAATGGGGAGGGGAGCAAAACTACAAGTGAAAACATGACCCTGAGCATTAATAGCACGTGTCCCTACCACTCAGGGTACAATTTCAAGGGACATTATGACACAAATTTTAAACACGCTACATTTTTTTTTTTTAAACTTGGAAGATTTTGCTCTGTAACAGGGTGATTCTACTCAAAGTGGCTCTAATGATGACAAAAAACACTGAAGTCAAACATGTAAGTTAAGAGCTTGATGATGATAATGTTCTAGGGGCGCCTGGGTGGTTCAGTGGGTTAAGCGTCTGCCTTGGGCTCAGGTCATGATCCCAGGGTCCTGGGACCAAGCCTCATAACTACCTCCCTGCTCAGTGGGGAGCCTGCTTCTCCCTCTGCCTGCCATTCCCCCTACTTGTGCTCTCTCTCTGTCAAATAAATAAAATCTTAAAAAAAAAAAAGGAAATGTTCTAAAATTGATTGGGGTGGGACGCCTGGCTGGCTCAGTCAGTAGAGCATGCAACTCTTATCTCTGGATTAGGAGTTCAAGCCCCAACATACATATGTACATACATTCATAAAATTGATTGTGGTAACAGGTGCACAACTCTGTGGACATACTGAAAGCCATAAATTGTACATCTGAAATGGGTGAATCATATGGCATGTGATTTATACTCAATAAAGCTGCTTTTTTTAAAGTTAAGAGATTAAATAAAATCATTTCATAAAACTTGAAAATGACAAAGTAATATTTCTATATTTCAAGCATGCATGGGATTAATTTGAATAATATAAATAGAGATTTAATGATTTCATTTGACCATTTCATCTACATCCTCAGAAGTTTATAAAAGTCAAATTCTGGGGATCTTTGTGTGGGACAGCAGAACCTCCTCTTATATTCAAACTGCCTCATATATTTGGCAAGTCACATAGATACTAAATTTACTTAAAATCGATTATAAAAAAAACCAGAAAGTCATGTAAAATATTTCAGAGTAATTCAATTAAAACATGGTTAAAATCAAAAGTATTAGGGCTTAAGTTTCCTTTCCTATGAATTCAATTATATGAAACTGCTCAACCTTAAAACAGTGATGAATAAATGTCACTTCTTATAGCCCCAACTCTCTAGTAATGCTAAGGTTATTTTTTTACTGTTAAAATTTTGTTATTTTTTACTAAGTTAAAACCATATTTACAAAATAATCAGGAAATCAGCATCAGGAGGCACATGATGACTTCAATATTCCCCAGAATCAAAGCAAAGGTGAATAACGGGCTCAAATTATTAACCTCTATATAGAGGCATGGTAAAAAAGATGATGGAGACAAGTATTTGGGTGTCACCGCAGCTCTATAACAACCTGCTCTGTGACCTACAGAGGACGATCTACACTTGATTATTCAGTCTACCTACCTCATGCAATTACCATGAGGATCAAATGATAGGAGATAGTAAAGGACTTTGGAAATATTAAAATACAATAAATGAATGTGGTGGTGGTTGTTTTTTTCAATTGGGCAAAAGGTAAAGTCTTCGGGACTCAGTGAAGAAACCTAGGCCAAATGTCAACTGAGATCAGAAAGAATGCAGACATCCGAACAGCAGCAAGATACCATGGAGTCTTCCATCACTAGGGTCTATAAGCTAAAGGTAACACGGTGGTTGAATGCAGATTCAGTTAGGCCTACAGACACACCTTGTTTAGTATTCACTTAAAACCAATGTTTTTAAATTTTTAATTTTTTGTTAATTTTTTTAAATCACAAACGTGCTCTTAAAAACTGTAATTCTCTGGGGCACCTGGGTGGCTCAGTCGTTGAGCGTCTGCCTTCGGCACAGGTCATGGTCCCAGGGTCCTGGGATCGAGCCCCGCATCGGGCTCCCTGCTCGGCGGGAAGCCTGCTTCTCCCTCTCCCACTCCCCCTGCTTGTGTTCCCTCTCTCACTGTCTCTCTCTGTCAAATAAATAAATAAATCTTAAAAAACAAACAAACAAACAAACAAAAAAAAACTAATTCTCTGTTTTCTCTTTAAAAATTGTAAGATCTATGAATACCGGGCCTACGTGACAATTTCACTGCAGCTACTGCCTTTGGATATGAGATTTTCAATATGAAATAGTTCTTTCTTGGCCCCTTTCACTGATTTGCAGTATCTGATACATGTAGGCATTTGAGTGACCACTGCACACTAAAGATTTTATCAGAAATGGGTCTTTTTTTTTTTATGTTCAATTAGCCAGCATATAGTACATCATTAGTTTTTGACGTAGTGTTCAATGATTCATTAGTTGCGTATAACACCCAGTGCTCATCACATCACGGTCCTGAGTTAGGAAAAGGTTGCTTCTCTAATTTTCTAGAAACACTGGGCTTTAGAAATGAAGGAGGCAATACATCCATCAATGTGTTAGAGAGCCTTTCTTTGGGTTAGGTTAGTTGAGAAAACAGATTCCGTACAAACTGCAGACTGCCACCCGCCCCGCCCAAACACACAAAAAAACTGAGAGTGACGCTGCTTCTCTAAGTGAATAGAAACGAAATACTCGACACAGTTCTCAGAAACTTCTACAGTCACATAAACATCAGTGTCTTATCATTCCCATTTAATCATTAAATTTGCAAGGCCACATATGTCCCTAAATGATGGGTCTCAAAAAACAACATTCAGGAACTCAAGGGAGACTCACTCCCTTAGTGACTTGCCACTAATCTAATTTCAGAAGGAATTAATAGGTTCCCCAATTTTTTACACACTGGAATCACCTGGAATCTTTGAAAAATGCTGATACCTGGCTCCTACCTCCATACATTATAATTTAATTAATATGGGATTGGGATCAGGACACTGAGATTTTTTTTTTAATTATTTATTTATTTGACAGAGAGAGAGACACAGCGAGAGAGGGAACACAAGCAGGGGGAGTGGGAGAGGGAGCAGCAGACTCCCCGCTGAGCAGGGAGCCCGATGCAGGGCTTGATCCCAGGACCCTAGGACCATGACCTGAGCCAAAGGCAGACACTCAACGACTGAGCCACCCAGGCGCCCCAGGACACTGAGATTTTTAAAAGTTCCCTTGGTGACTCTAATGTCAGCAAGGTTGGAAAGCACTGAAGTACTACAGAAAGTGTTCTGATTCTCTAATGTCCAGCAAAGTCATAGGAATGTCTCCTTAGAAGAAAGTACAGAGAGTTCTCAAAGTTTATAGAACAAATGATCAGAAAGTGAAACTGAAGGAAAGAGAGTTCCTGAGGTTTACTATACCTGGCATGTAATAAAACAAGCAATACATTTTCAATTCATTTTTGTGGTTCAAATGGTTATTGTGCAATAAGGTGACCCCAAACTACCTTCAATTGACACTAAAATAAAAAGCTTTCAAATTTTTCACTGAATTGTTAGAACTTGGAAAAATGTAGGCAATAGTACCATTACACTACAGATATTTACTCTAAGCAATAATCTATTTATAATATCACCAAGAGAGGGGCACCATCAAAAAGATCCCTTTATTAAATAAAAATATATCAGGTACTTATGTATCATTCAACAAGCATTTACCCAGCATCTACTAAGTGACAGAGATGGGCACTAAGGATACAGCACTGAACAAACGAAGAAAACAAAACAAAAAATCGACACCCTCACAGAGGCTATATAGGTATAGAGTAGGAGACAAGAAAAACAAGTAAACTACAAAGAGGCAGAGAGTGGGGGATACCGGGAGTCAGCTGGGATTTGCGATTTTAAATAAAATAATACATTATATGAAAAAAGAAAAAAGAAGAAGATAGCAGGAGGGGAAGAATGAAGGGGGGAGAATCGGAAGGGGAGACGAACCATGAGAGACGATGGACTCTGAGAAACAAACTGAGGGTTCTAGAGGGGAGGGGGGTGGGGGGATGGGTTAGCCTGGTGATGGGTATTAAAGAGGGCACGTTCTGCATGGAGCACTGGGTGTTATGCACAAACAATGAATCATGGAACACTACATCAAAAACTAATGATGTAGGGGCGCCTGGGTGGCTCAGTCGTTAGGCGTCTGCCTTCGGCTCAGGTCATGATCCCAGGGTCCTGGGATCGAGCTCCACATAGGGCTCCCTGCTCCGTGGGAAGCCTGCTTCTCCCTCTCCCACTCCCCCTGCTTGTGTTCCCTCTCTCCCTGTGTCTCTCTCTGTCAAATAAATAAATAAAATCTTAAAAAAAAAAAACTAATGATGTAATGTATGGTGATTAACATAACATAATAATAAAAAAAAAAAGAAGTCTAGAAAGGAACCATCGGAGAAAAGACTTGAGAGTGGTGTTAGAGAACATATATAATGAATACATACTAAAGGCTATAAAATACATTCACAAAGTTAATAATGCCGAGAGAGCAAAAGTGATCAATCTGAAGAGCGCCATACCTCCGTGTGGAATCTTAGGGTTCTCGGGGAGTCTTCCTGGATCAGTAAATGAGGCCCTCACTAAAGCAACCAGACAAAATATGGCAATGCCATAGAATACTTTGAAATAAATAAGAAAGTTAAGTAAATAAAATCAGTCATTTATTCTTCAAAACACTTTATCAAAAAGCATATTCAAAATTTAAATGCATGTTTTAATTACTACCATCAGAATAAATAATTTTCAAAACTAAAATGGAAAAATGATTAAATAAAATAATTAAATATTCATTTCATTCATCAAATACTACTGCCAAGAGGACTATCTCATACATATTAACTTTAAATATTATTTTGCATAATAACTGATAAACTTGTTATAAATCAGATTTTTTATTAACAGAGATTCCTTGTCAATAATGGCATAAATGGGCTCCCTTTTAATTACTACATCTACTATATTTGACAGAATCAAAGCAGTATTTTAAAACCCATCCTACAATTAAACTTTTTCATTACCTCTAACTGGCTATCTTCAAAATTACTTTGAGTTAGAGATATTCAATTGCTCCTTTTAATTGAGCTTAAGATATTGATGTAATGTGAAAATAAAGAATCTAAAAATTTTGAGTTTTTAAAAGAATAACTAGAAAAACAACAGTAAGGAAAAACAGATTCATTCATTATAATTCTACCTTTTAAATGAATAAAAAAATAGGCATTTGGCGGGGGAGGGAGGAGGCCCGGCACCAGTAAGAGGAAACTCAGTTTGAGTGCTAACTCCAGGAATGACTGCATGGTACTGGTCAGTTTTATCACTTGTGTAATAGGGATTATATTTCCCACAGCCCTCGTGAGGCCAAAATGACATAATGTACAAGGAAACTCCAAATGCCACGTACATGTAAAATATATCATTTCAGTCTTATTCTTTTAATCATAAGCAAGCCATCACCAAATGAACGACAGCAGAAAATAATTATCCAGAAGTTCAAAGTGTTATCATAATCAACGTAATTAGTAATCTTTGTATGATGAAAGTCTCATTTCTCAGTAATGTATATCATCTTCATTCTTAAAACTTCTTCCACATTTGAAATAAGTACATAATAGAAACATTAAAAATACACACAGACACACACAAAATAGCACTACTGTGCCAGTTTCAATTTAAACAAAACGACCTATATATACTTTGCAGTTAGCCATGGAGAGGATACATTTATCCAACCCTGCAAAATCTATAAAAGCCAGTCTTTTTTAAAACTTCCCTTATTTAGTAAGTAACTTAATAATAATAGTGCTAATAGTATTAAAAGAAAAGGTATCATAGTGATACTAGACTCCAAAAATATTCACAATGAGAAAACTAATTATATAAAGAAATAAAGATCAGGAACTTACTTATTATTAATATGCCTGGAATATGTCCTTCTTCATAGTGAGGAAAGAGGACAATTTTGGGAATTAAAACAATATTGTATAACCAGACAAAGACAATCAAACCCATGCAGCACCAACCATGTGGGTCAACAACAAAGTGAATCCGGAGACCCATTTTGCAGTCCTACAACTGCGTGCCAACCCACAAGGAAAGACGATCCTAAGGAAAGATGACAAAGAAAAAAAATTACTTATGTAGAAAAAATTATTTGACTGAAACAAAACTACATTACCGGCAACTATAAGATGACGCCGAGTTTTCTTTGGATATTTTTGACAAAATGAAACACACTGCAAAACAAAGAGAAGTTTCAGGATATTCAAACTTCATCAGAGGCTTCAAATCATTTAATTCCAATTTTTACTATGAGTTGCTATCACAGAGGATAAATTAGCAATACCTTCTGAAGCTAAACACAAGTCTGTCCTTAACCCAGCAATTCCATGTGTAAACCCAAGAGAAATGAGACACATGTCAAAAGATATGTGCAAAATTTTTTAGTAGTTTTAATCATTAGACTAACTGATGGTCATACAAGTCAAAACAGTGGTCCTCATGTGGTGGGAGGGGAACAAAAGGGAAACTTTGAGGGGCTAGAATTGTTCTCTATCTTGACCTGGGTGGTGTCTCATGGGTATATACATATGTAAAAATTCACTGTGCTGTGTACACTTAAGATTTGTGTGATTTATTTTAATTTTAAACCACAATACAATGCCTAATCATTTTGAAAAATAAAAAGCGGAAAGTAATCACAAGTTGCCAAAAATATTTAAATTCACAGAACAAAGCCCAACTAATCTTACTACTATCAATTCAAGAAGACTCCTGTTTAAATGGAGCTTTTTTCACTGAGCGTTAACAAAATGCTAATCAACCTTCCAGTGAGACACTTAAAGTTGATACTTCTATATTTATGGTACCAAAAAAGGTAATTTAAAATATATGCCTACCTTAGTAGATATAATTTATAAGGCTTAAACAGGAAATTATAAGGTCAAGGGGGCACCTTTTACATAAAATAAAATGGAATAATACAATAACAAACTAGGACAGGGTTTCTCAAACCTGTCAGCAAACCGGAATCGACTGAGGAGCTTTTTAAAAATACTTATTCCCAGGCCCCATTCCAGATCTACTGAATCATAATTCTTTATGGAACAAAAGCTCAAAAACCAATAAAATGTTTTAAAATGTTCCCCAGGTGTCTCTGATAGAGCACACTGGTGTCTAGGAACCACTGATCCAAAAGCTTCCCTAAAACTTCCATGTTAGGGCAATGAGTTGAATTCAGTTCAACAAATTTATTAACGGAGCTGCCATAACATACCAGTTATTATAGATACAATGATGAATGAGATGTGGTCTTTGCTTACAGTAACTAACAGTCTACTGGGGAAAAGAGTCAGAAAAATGGGTTTAGTACAACTTGTTAAGCACCAGAGATGTGGACAAGAAGTCACCAGAGGCAGGAGCATCGGGACTAGTTAAATTAGGGCAAGACTTCCTCTAGGTGGTGAAATTGGAGTTCAGCTTTAAAAGATGAGTAAAAGTTATCCAAGCAAAGAAAAGTGACAACAATACTGCAAACAGAAAGAAGAGCAGGCGGTATACAAGAGTAAAAATTGTAGGAGGTATTACAAATTGCCATCATAAGTCATAAAGTTCGCAGTGGAGAGTGAGGGGTGAGAAATAAGGGGCTACCTCGTGAAAGACATAAAGATGCCACGTTAGAATGCTAAGACTTCATTCTTTGGCACTGGAAAGCTACTGATGCAAGAAGTTAACATAATGAGATTTATACTTTAAATAAAGTATTGAAGCTCTGGTGTCTAGGATAAAATTAAAGATCAGTTAAGCCAAAAAAAAAAAAAGCCAAAATTAGGTTTGAGAAGAGATCAACTGAGGAAACAGGTACAATCAAACCAGTATGTTTTACTAACTGACTGGATACTAGGGGTTACAGAGGAAAGAGTCAAGAAGGACTTGGAGATTTTCATCTTCTATCCCTCACTATCATCAGTTGGAGAGCTTCAGGGTGCCGCCCCTTAGAGGCCCTGCCAGTGTTCTTTAAAGCTACAAAGCTACCGGAACAAAGAAGAAAAAAAAAAGATTTAGGATTAGCTAATTTTAAAGTAATACACTGATCCTATCATCCTTAGAACATGCAAATACTGGAGCAGCAGAAAAAAAAAGACAAGAACTTAAACGCAACACCACCCAACTGTTTAAATCAGATATGGTCTAAATTAGTACTTATGTATGAATTTTAAAATAGGAATAGTGCCTAGGCCTTTAAAAAAGTAAAAACTGAACTTCATTACCTTTTAATTAGAAAATTACAAGACCTATCAGTATCATTAAAGGAAGGAAAGTCACAGAGGATAAAGTATGCTATTTAATTTACTGGGTATCATTTTTTTAAAAACTAAAGGAGCTCAAATACAAATGATAAGCTGTCTACATAGCTAAAATGAGAAACATTAAAAAGAATGTTTTTTTTACAGTCTTGCCAACCATCAAGTGCCAAAAGAAATGACAGAAGGCTCTGTCTCTCAACATGTTCAATATTATTAACTTCATGTACCTTCTTTCTTGTAATGTTTCAGTTCCAGACAGGACTGAAAAACAGACTATGAATTCCAATCATCACAGAGAACAGAGTAATTTCATTACTTATTTCTAAATTTATTAATATTAGAAACAGAAAAGCATTCAAGCCAGCAGAAGTATCAAACACTCATTCATGTTTCTGAACTCTATTTGTATCCTCCTCTACCACAGAATAACAAGTTCTTCTCAGGAGATTCCTCACAACTGAAGAATACTAGATACTGAAAAGCATACTTGAAGGTGTCTGATTTTCCTGCACGTGAGCATATATAGACAACAGGCTCTAAAAGAAAAAGCATCCCCAAGGAAAAGCAAGCAAAGAATAGAAAAATAAAACAATGAGTAAATAAGATGTTGAATTGTTTTTTAAATACCTGGTGAGTGAAAATTAGTGCCACATAAGCTTTATGGCTAGCTGTAGAGAAGCAAACAGTAGTCTTCGAAGAGCTCCAAATCAGATTACAACCAGCAATACATACCTGGTTGAGTGGTAGGATCACTCCACTCAGTTAATATCTCCCAGGCGTGGCTTATGGCTGAACAGAAACTATTACACATCCTGAGCCACAACCAAACTGAACACAGCGCTGCTACTCGGTCTTAAGGGTGGCATTTGTAAAATACTTTCATTAGCCAGAGATTCTAACACGCTAATTTATATATTACAAGGTGAGTTCATAACTCAAACTTTGATGTAACTAGTGGACATACTGGTACTTCAACATTTTTTAAGATTGTTATCTGGTAACTCTACTTGAGTGCTGTGACTAACTTCATTAATGATGTAAATTACTACAGCACCAACTTTTTTTTTTAAAGATATTATTCAACTCTAATAAACTAGACTACATAAATACTTACAATGTCCAAACTATTCTAGGAGGAAATGACCTTTTCTTGCCTTTTTAGGCCACTAGATTTTACCATGTATTTTCCTCAGGAAGAATACTCGAATCCACTATGAAAAGAAAGGGATGGAAAACTATTATAGGACCAAAAACTATAAAATCAAAATGCAGCTTTTAGAAAATGATAAAAATTAGCCAAGATAATTTACAAGAAATCTAGCCAAATGTTCTCTCTAAACTTAGTTTTATATGACTCTCCACCTCAGCCAGTAGTCTTACGAATGTTCCATGAATATGAAAAAAACATTCCCTCTCTCATTCCTCCTATCTGAAATGTCCCTACCATTTTGCTTACTCTATTTAAATTCAATTCACACTTCAAGGTCAATTTGAATCTCATTCTCCAGATGAAATTTTTCCTGCCACCTCAGTTCACAGTGATTTTCCTCTTCTAAATTCCAAATACAAAACAAAACTAGTACAAGAAAATAGCAAGTGGTTTTATAATCTCAAAATGAGGAAGACCTTCACAAACAAGACCTTCACAAACGAGACCACATAAAGATTAAAATTTCTGAGGCCTAAAACATACCAAAAACAAAGTTAAAAGACAAAGTATCCCTTTTAAAAAACATTACAACATATGACTGGTAAGAGGCATACAAAATAAATACACAGAGAAGCAATTCACAAAGAAAAAAAATTTAATGGCTAATCATTACTGATTAGGAAAATGTGAAATAACTAGGTATGTTTTTTCATCCTTGGTACTCACAAAATTTTGGAAAGATTACCCAATGATGAGAGAGCACAGAGAAAAAGACACTCCCACCCATTACTGTGATGCATGTAAACTGATACAATCATCTTTAGAGGGCAATGTAGCAGTATCTATTAAAAAGTCAAACTCTCTGACCCTTTGACAAACTATCTGACCCAGCAGTTTTATCTCTAGTAAGAGCTACCAAAGTACCCATCAGAGTGTGGAGGGACATGTACATTCAAGGTGTTCCACACAGTGCTTTTTTGTATTCATAAAAATTGGGCACAACATCAATGTTCATGAAGAGGGAGGGGAATGATCAAATAAACTATAAGTCATCCAAGGTGTAGAGTTATTTCCAAGCTACTGCAATTAAAAAAAAAAAAGAAAGGAAAAAAGGAGGTAGATCTAAATCTGCATATGGCTATCCACACGTAGTGTTGAATGAAAGAAAGGAGGTTATGAGAAAGAAAGGAGGTTATGAGAAAAAGCTTAACAGTGGTTTCCTGGAGGAGAGGAGGATAATGAGAGACTAGGAAAAGGTATAAGGGAACATTCTGATTCCCTCATAAAGATCTCTATCTTGGTATGAATTTGAGATACACAGGTTGTGAACGTGTCGAAAGTCGGCAAATGTACACTTAAGAATGGTGCATTTCATGGTATGTAAATATACCTTTTAAAAAGCCCTATAAACCAACATTGAACTCTAGCTAATGATATGTAGGCTGAAGTATCAGGGAGGGGGCAGAAGGAGGAAATGTACTAATGTCTGCAATTTACTATGAAATGGATCAAAAAAATAAATAAAGTGGATTGACGGATGGACAGAGAGATGGTTGAGCATGTTATGAAGTTTAATAAAATATTAGTTGTAGAATCTAGGTGATAGGTATTCAGATGTTACACCATAAAATTTTTTCAACCCTTCTGTTTAAAATTTTCATAATTAAATGTTGCAGGGGAAGGCAAATTATAGAAAAGTTTGTATAACATGATTCTTTTTTTTTAAAAAAAAACATGTATTAGTAATTTCTATATATGTACAGGGGAAAAAAGTATAGAAGAAAACATATTCATCAAACTGTTAACATGAGTGGTTATCACTGGGCTGAGGAAGGATAGAGCAGTGCAAAGCAAGCTTTCACATCTCATGTATGGATTATGTGTTCTTCTAGGTTTATTAATAAAGATATGTACTTCTAAATTCTTTTCAACCAACTGAAAAATAAAGATTACCTAGGGGTTCTGATTAGACACTACAACCTTGTATACAAGATGTTTCATTTAAGCTCTCTTTATCGCTACATTTATTAACCTAATATTAAGTGCGTTTAAAGTTAATATTTTTTAAAATGCAGTGTAGAAGCATCAGCTGTAAAGCCACATCAGATTTGTGTTTCTGAAATTTGTATTACTTACAGATTATTTTTCTCTATGGAAAAAGAAATTTCTTATTTAAGAAATATCTAGTTAAAATTTAATATGAAAAAATTTAAATAAACATAATGTAACTACAATTATCTTTTTTTTGCAAATGGATAACTGTTAAATGCATCTAAAAATAAGACTTTAAGGACACTATGCCACATAATACAGAAACATATTCCCATGTAAAATTAAATGTAGACTTACCACTTGCAAATTCACCAAGATGTGTTGTAATTTTTCTGGTGCTTGCATTTAGAGGTTTTATCTTGATTCATTCCTTTTTTAGTTACATCCCAGCAAATGGATCTCTCCTCAATAACAGTTCTCCATGAGAATCTATTAATGGTTTAACAAATAATGATCTCTTACAAAGATAAAAATTGTAAGCCGCTAAATATTCTGTGAAAATGTCAATTACAAAAGTTTTAAATTCAAAAATAAGATCAACTCCACCTGATTTTGTGTTTTCATACCCTACCCCATCCCCCCAAAATCTGCATTTGATTACCATTGTACAGGAAAGTTCTCTCTTTTGAAACCACCCAGTTCCCATAAAATCAAATTAGTATTGTATGTCCAACATTTGGGCTTCATCAAACTTCCTAACCACAAATCACAAAATGACAATAGATTCTGAGATCACTGATGAGACAAAATGCAATGTAATGTCTATCAAGATGTGAGGCTGGAACTATCCCATCACAATTGATAAACATAAACTAAAGAGTTTAAAATAGAAGCAAGTTTTAGTTTGAAATATTTTAAGGAAAAAAGCTATCCTCCTGTAATGAACCATTAAGAGAATCAGCCATAAAAGTTAGTTTCTACAGTCCAAGCTTAAACAATAATAAAGAGTTCTAGATAACATATATACACTGATTATGTATTTTATTAATTCACTTAGCATCTACTGACTATATACTATGCTTTTGCACAGGATACAGATAAAAAAGAGATGAGCCCCATCCTCAGTGAAGACAGACTAGTAAACAGACCAGATCAATATCTTTGTAAGACAAGGTGAGATAGAGGGCAAGACGGCAGGAATGCATCTCATATAGTAAGGGTATTAGCTCATGGAACTTTTTTCAGTTATGGGAATATTTACGTGCATACTAGGTTGTAGTACAAAAGGTATTTCCTATGGTGAGTTGCCATCAGGAAAAGGTTTCTGGAGAGAGTGAAACCTGTGAGTTAGCTAGTCAAAGAATGAGGCTCTTCTGAACAAGGGAGCGAAATACGCAAAAGTATAGAAGCAGGCAGAGAAAACCTAAGTAAACTGAAATTACTAGAGTCATTGCATATGGAAGAATGGGGTAAAACATGTTTAACCTTTCGAACACACTCACCTCTAAGAAATATATTTCGTAACATTACCAGTACACACAGAAATATATGATACGAGAATGTTCTATACTCATTAAATGAAATATATAATTGAAAAAGTTTAATGAAATATTTGCCCTTACTACATGTGATGTACTCTGATACTGTTATTCTATTTTACCCTAGTTCATTTTAATAAAAATATATAATGTTGGTCATAGCCCACTAAAGGGATTCCATAACCCACAACAAAAGAGTAATCTAAGAGGGAAAAACACTGTTAAACCATGCTAATGAATTTGGACTTTGCACTGAACACAGTGGAAAACCACTGCAGGATTTTAGGCGGAAGAATGCCATGATGAAGTTCACATTTTGGAAAGAACAGCAATACTATGAAGGATGGACTTGGGTGGATGGATAAAGCTCCAAAATGGACTACATAAAATAAGCTAGGCTTACTGGTTACCCAGGTGAGAAATGAGGGCATGTGGGAAGACCAAAACAGTAGTGACTTGTAAGGGGAGTGTGGAGGAGCAGGGGTAAAGAAGGAATACTTAGGACAGGAGACATGCTGGAAAGGGGCAGATTAAGAATTTAACGAGTAAAATTGACAGGACTTGGTGATCAATTGGAAGCAAAGGGCAGACTGTAGGTTTTTGGCTTAGGGACTATGTGAACGGTGGTACCATTCTCCAAGACAGGAAATGAAGGACAAGTTACGAGTTTCTTAAGCATACTGTTTACCATAGCAAAAGGAAAGTTTTACACACTAAGGATGTGAGAAATGTATCAAAATCCTTAGCATTACATTTCCATTCCCCTTATAGACTTTTTAAATTGGATTTTCTCCCAGCGTCAATTTTTCTATGGTCATGATTGTTAGATTGTCAAATGTGATTTGTTTCACTTTCTAAGATAATTTACAGTGCTTTCCTTGCCCGCACCTTTGATTTCTTAGGGACAAAATATGGAATGACAAAGTACAGGAGCTGCTACTCTAATAGCAAATGAATGAATTCATCTTCTTCTAGACAAAATCGCAAGCAGAATTAAATGCAGTACAACAAAATGTCTGAGACGGCCAAAGTCAATAATCTGCTATGGCGAGGACTCCAGGGTGGCTTCCTAATGTCTCAGCAAGACAGTACTTCCTGTCAGTGTTATTAGGTAACAGCCCAAGTCAAACGTCTATGAGTCAAACCCCGGTCACTCACTGGCTTGGACTCAAGGAAAACTCCTACTTTACATTTTCAGTTATTACAGCTACACTGAAGCATAGCATTTACAACGGGATGCCCATTTTATCAAATTCAGCAGCATCACCGACATCATGGAATCAAATCTCACCTATGAGGTACAGAAACAATGCTAGGCTTAAAACTCCATGTAAATTTGGGATAATGAAGAATATCCAAAGTTTTATAACTATAAAAGGTCATAAAGTCATTAAATATTTTTAACATTATGTCTGAAAGAATATAATCAACAATTCACAGAGCAAACCAAAAAAAAAAAATTTTCCACAGAAAGTTCCGAAAACGGTTAATATATGGATATATAAAATTTAAACTTATAATTGCACCTTAAAATGAAGTTACAACTACATACTTTTAAACATATTTAAACTTCTGATGTTATCTACTCTGAAAATTGGCCAAGATAAATAATTCTACCTAAAATACCAAGCTACAGGGGCACCTGGGTGGCTCAGATGATTAGGCAGCTGACTCTTGATTTCGGCTCAGGTCATGATCTCAGGGTCCTGGGATAGGTCCTGAATCAGGCTCCACACTCTCTTTGCCCCTCCCCTTGCTCCTGCTCTTTCTCTCTCTAAAATAAATAAATAAATCATTTAAATATATATGTGTGTGTGTATATATATATAAAGATTAAAAAATGTATCAGGCTATAGCTGTCTCCAATAATTAGCCAAGGGGGTAGTTCAATTTTTAAAATATCACATAGGTATTCAGTTTATTTCAACAGAGTAGGAAATTAATCTTGTGGGGATATGAAAAAGAGAGCCACATTCAAATTATGACACAGCCTCCAAGCTGCCGTTTCTTTTCAAGCTTCCGTTTAGCCATCTGTAAAATGATGATAAAAATAACTCCCGGAATTGTTGTCATGCTTAAATGAGAAACTGCCTGACAAATGAAAAGCAACTCCCAAAATAGTAACTTTAAAGGGGAGTGGGGGACAGGAGAGGAAGAGAGACAAAGGTAAGTTTTACTTCTAATCCTGCAAACTCCAGAATCAAACAGTGTTTCTGGGTCCCTACCTTTAAAGTTGTGATACAATCTAACCATACCCCAGCTCTACTTCCTCTAACACTAAAGTCTGAGAACACTTGTCAGGGATGAGAAACCTCCCACAGCCCAGCCTTTCAGCTGCTATCATACTATGAGCACAGAGGGAAGTTTTATTTGCACGTGTTGGCATGGGGTCTCTTCAAGCAGAAAACTGAAAATAGAGATTTGATCTAAAATAGACGGACTGAACTAAAACCTGTAAACCAAAATCTTTCAAGGAAAAGCAGAAGGGCTGGTAAGTTAAGGACTAAAACACAGTTGCGAGCAAATCAGGACCAGATTTCAGAAGCTAATGAAGAATGCACAATCAAAGTAGGGAATTTTGACTCAATGCTGAGGTCTCCAGGAAGACTTTGTGAAAATGTGGGTGGGCAAAGTGTCAAAGGAGAACATACTTGCACCACCAATGGTTTCAAGAACCCACTTCTAGAACAAGCCCTTAAATCACTACCTTCTAGGCAAAACTGAACATAAGACATTGCTCCTCTGTGTACCTGCTTCATGAGTGAAAAATAAATGTAAATTAATACCTCTATTAAAAATATTGCACTGCAGTGACACACCTCATCGGAATTCCCTAACAGAAAATAAAAATAGCTTGGAAGGTGTGGGATGATATGAATTAAAGATACCAAATCCTGCTTCAGTCAGTATAAAGTGTCTACGTTGGAATCTTCACTGAGGAAGGCAGGGATGTTGTGGGAGAGAGTCAGGAAAGGCGAGAACTAAAGTTGAACGTAGAGTAGGGACAGAAGGCAACAGATAACCTTTGCTTCAAACACAGCACAAGAAAAAACCTTCAGATAAAGTAAAAGCCAGAAATGAAGAGGCTCTGGCGTTTCCTGGACATGAACCTGACATGTTCTTCCAAGGGGAAAGGGAAACTAGCTACCTACCTCTAGTACCCACTCCACCAAGACAAACTGAAAAAAAAAAAAAATAATACTAAATCAGATTTCCTTCCCTCCAGGCTCTACCAAAGCAGGCACAGTTTAAGAACAACAATACTGAAAGAAATCATCACTCCGTCTTGCTTGAAGCTGAAAATCCTACAGGAGGTAAAGTTATTCATTCCATAATTATGGATAAAAGGCTTAAAATCAGAAGCCTGGCTGAGTCACACCCGAGCATGTTAAAGTTAGAACTAACATAAAACTAATCAGCGAGTGGCAAAATACTCATTTTTACCTAACCTGCCCTTTTGTGGAAGTGGCAACAGGTAGATGAAGAGAGCAGATACCCTGTCAGCCCCTTAAATGGGATGAGGTAAATCTACCTCCGAGGTAAAGCACAGGGCCAGAGGAGGCCTCAAAGGCAGAAGAAAAACTTTGAAAATGTCACGTCTTTTCCCTAGGGTACATCAAAAGAGGGAAATAAGTAAATAAACTATCACCCTAAGATATTTCTGGCGAGGTAGCTACCGATGAGAGCAGTGCTACTTCACACCTGTGAATAACTAGGTTTATTCAATTTACCAATGATTCTTTTTTTTATTTTATTATGTTATGTTAATCACCATACATTACATAAATTTACCAATGATTCTTAACCAAAAAAATCACTATGCTGACAATAAAGAGGGTTTTTTCCATTTATTCTTGTCTCTTACCTATATTTTTCACTGATACAAAATAGTTCAAACATTTTTCAGCTTTAATAAGAGCTATAAGTGCACTGATTATTCTACTAGATGTTAAAATGCCATTTATATTTAGTGCACTTGAAAAGTTGAATCTGAGCCCTAATGTTTTACTAAAGCAATATAAAATTCCTTCATGCCTTAATATAAAAGTAAAACTCAGCTTTAGAAAAAACTCCCTGGTAATAAAGATAGATTTTCTTCTGCCTTCCCTGTTATACCTGTTAATACCGACACTACCATCATGTAGCCTTCTATGCTGAAAAAGATTGCACTGACTCACACTCAATTACAATCCCAGAAAAAAACCCCCATGGAGGCAATACTAGACTTCTCAATTAGTTTCTTCACTAATACAGGGCATGATTTTATCCATGCACTTTTCCACAGGTTCTGAATCAGTCCCTCTGAATTAAAGAAATCAGGCAGTTGGCAAATAAGTAAAAATTTTATGATTCACACTGATCACTCCTTCTTTAGAATCTACCTGTTAAGCTGATGGTTACATGTATGCATTTACCTACATTTTTATTAAATAAAACACCCCAGAGATAGGTAGGCAGTGTGACACGGTTACCATCATTTTATTTAAAATATGCTCTATTTCTTTTATTCCAACTACAGCTTCTGAAGTATTTTACATTTAACAGAAATCACCACCATTTGAAGGGACCTAATTATGATCCCATTGGTTTACAACCAAAATGAGGGATTCTACACCAAATACTATTCCAAAAGTATAGAATATACATTTTTTAGTTATATTTTGATATAATTTTCCTAATACTTCTTCAGGTATATGTTTAAAATGTACTCTTAACATGTTAAAGGGTTTTAAATTAATTACAAACGTAGCATATGCCAAATAGGTATGGAATAGCTAAAACGAGCCTTAAAGAATTTAGCCTAACTCCTTAGTTGTATAGATGAGAAAACAGGGTGGATCACTGACCTATCCATGACCCTACAGCTAGACTGTGACAGCAGTGGGACTAGAATCTAGTTTTTCTTTCCACTACACTAAATCTCATTTGGTTCCTTCTTTCCAATTGATTTCTCACCTCATCTCTTCCTCAAAAATCTTTTTGCCATTAAGAGGTTCAACAACTAAAGCAACATAAAACACTGCTCTGGATTTTATCTGTAAAATAAGTAAAATCTAAAGAAATGGGAGGATTTAACAAGACATTGCACAAAAAGCCAAGGAAGGCACATACCAGGCAGTCATCAAATAACTATTATGGTTCGTTATTACTGTTTTTACAAGGAAGGTAGTGTTTTTTTTTTAAGGATACATACATATTAGCATCCTAGGCTGAGGATCCATCTGACACATCACCTTTTTTAACTTGCGCTTAATTATCCTTATTCGTCTTTTAGGCTGTAACTTTACACTATGATTTATGACCCACCCACAATGACCTTAATTTTTTTTTTCCTCTTGTATTTTATGGACTGCTATAACTGCAATATTTTCGAGTAATAACCGGTCAGGTTCTCTCGGCCCTAGAGATACAGCCATCCTCCACTGACTCACAAGGGATTTTAAAATGTGACCCAAATATAGCTTGAGAAACCACAACTTTAAATGGACTCTCCACTTAAAATCCAGCAACCTATTTATTATAGTAAATGGTAACAAGTGCAAACTGCTGCCATCCATAAGCCATTTTCTCAGAATCACTCTTGGATCTGGGCGGAGGGAGGCAGAAGGTCAATAAGGGAGCAAACTCTTTCCGCTCCTGCTAGTCCTCTGCAGCCTCGCGCCGGTGATCTGGAAATGAATGAAAGGCGGCGATAACAGAGATAAACCCGGGATCCCTGCGCAGGTCTCCGGGCGGGGCTGCAGAGAGGAAAACTGTAGTTCACAGGCGAGAAACTCAGGGCACAGATTTAATAAATTAAAAAGCAAAAGCAAAAAAAACCCACCCCAAATCACCTCGGCTAGAGCAGGAACCCACCCCCACCCCCACTCCCAGTTCTGGAAGGGGGAGCTGGCGGGCGGCGGCGGCTGCTCTGAGACCCGCCGGGCCCCGGGCGAGCCGGGTTCGGAGCGGGGGCGGAGGAGGGAGTGGAGTGGGGGGCGC